GGAGGGAGGGAGGAGGAGTAGAAGGGAGGAGGGGGAGGAGGGGGAGGGAGGGAGGACAGGGCGGCGCTGCGCTGGGTGTGTTCAGGGATGACCACATGAGAACCACAGCAGTGACCTTAGAGTGTGTGCTGGGGCCTGTGCTCCTGGGAACCTGTGGCCGCCCTGGGAGGAAGCCTGGGCTGGCCTGGGGGACGAAGAGGGGACAAGCTTGGTTGGTTGGGCTCACAGACCAGTCTCCCTCCAGTGTGGGTCTCATCTGTCCCTGAGAGCCCACCGTGTCACCCTGAGCCCTACCCCTTTGTCACTCTGCAGTGGAGGTGAGGCTCGCTCTGCCTGGTCCGGATCCAACAGGAGGCAAGCCCAGGTGTGCGGGGAGCACCTCGTTGGCAGAGGACAGCGAGGACAGACTGCGGGATCCCAGACCTCGCTGAGCCACGGTGCCTTTGTGGTTTTGCGTCAGAGAGGATAAATCGCAGGCCCCGGGTGGGCTTCGTTGGCTTTGTGTGCAGCTGGGCCTGAGGCTCCTTCAGCCCCGTAGTGCCCCGCCCCTGCCACCCTGCTCTCCTGCCATTGTCCCCCCTGAGGGGGACAGAGCCAAGTTAAGGACCAGGACCGACCGCCCTGCTCCAAGCTGGAACCCGGGTAGGGGTTCAGCATGGCGCCTGGCCCTCTGAGGGCTGGTCCTTCAGGCACATGCACCATGGGCAACCAGAGACAGTGTCCCAAAGGAGGGCCCGAGGCAGTGAGAGCGGGCAGGGAAAGATGGAGACCCACCCACGGGCACCGTCTCTCCCTGTGGAAGAGACATAACGGAGCCTTGGAGGGTGGCCAGGGACCTACCAGATGGCTGTGCTGGGCTGGAAAGGACAGCAAAGGCGGGACCAGGCCGTGAGGCCAGGGCAGGACAGGCTTCCGAGCAGGTCTTCGTGGCCAAGCTGTGTCCCAGGGGGAGCCCCCAGACGCAGGCCACCCTGCCTCTCGGTCAACAAGGACCAGAGCTGACGGCCAGGCACCACCCCAGGCTCCAGCTCAGACCTCTGCAGTGGCCCTGAGGAGAGGCCAGCTGAGCCCTGAACCCCTGGGGCTTCAGAAGGGCCCCCACGCTGACCGGCCCTGGGCCAGGGCGACTTCACTTCCTGGGACGACCAGGAAGCCGCCCGCATGCAGCCACAGGGGCTGAGGTGCCCCTGGACTCTGCTTCAGACAGTGTCCTCGGGAAGCGTCCTCTCCCAGGCCTGCTGCCCCTTCCTGGGCCGCCCCTCACTTCCCGACTGCCTTGGGCCTCCTGCTCCTTCCCGTCCACGCTGTGCCTTCCAACGTGAAGTTCTGCAGGGACCACTCCATTCCCCAAACCACAGCCCCCTGGGGCCTGTGAGGCTGCTGAGGTTCCATCCGCAGGGTGAGGCTGGCCTTGGTGGAGGACCCAGGGGGAATCCTCGTCTGCAAGTCAAGAGGGCTCTGGAGGAACCTGCCCCGCCGCACCCTGAGCTCTGTCTTCCAGCCTCCTGCAGCGAGACAGCGACTGTGCTTTCAGCCCCGCTGAGGGTCTTGGTCAGATGCACACGTCCAGCCCTCCCAGCTCAGCAGCCTGCCTTTCCTCACTGGGGGAGGCCTGCCCACTGGCACCACAGGCGGCCTGCGCTCACTACGTGGGTTTGAGTGGCAGGTGCTTTCCTCCCTGGGCACCTGTGAGAGCCACACTGAGCCACAGCACTCCAGGCAAAACCCGCCTGCTCTCCAGCCCACCTGTGTCCCCAGGCCTGTTCTGGATGGCGGACTCCAGCTAGGGCCTGCGCTCCCAGCACCCGGCCTTTGTGATCCTCACTCTGACTTAGGGCGAGGAACTGACCCACAGTGCTCTCCCCAACTCAACTTGGCCTTTGTGTGTTCAAAATTACAGCCAAATGCCAATAATCAAGTTACCGTGTTTGCAATGCTGTAGTCTTTGCTAGTGGGCCTCTTGCACACTTTTTGGGGGGTGTGGTTACACTTTCTGCAAATTAGCGGGGTATGTAAAAGGGTCAGGATGTTTGAAACCCTTGAGAATTGTTGTCAAGCCATTCAAAAGCAATCTTCTTATACAGATTAAAATGCTAATTGCAAATAATCATCTATTAAGATAATCGACACTATTATGCCAGACTGAATTTCTGTTGGTGTCCGAAATGAGTAAACTGCCTTCTTCAGTCTCCCTGCTGATCCCCAGGGTGACAATGGCCCTTCTCAGGAGCCCACGCAGGCTCTTTGCCTGCCCCTCTGCAATGTCTTCTCCTGCCTCCAGCCAGAGCATGAGGGTGCCCAAGACCTTCTGCAGCCCGTGGCCACCCTGCCTGGCCCAGGCCCAGGTCTGCATCTGGGTTGTGATGGACAGCCGTGTCTTGGCCGTGTCTTGGGGCAGATGTCTTACTCGGTGTGTGTCTGGGTTTTCTCGTTTTAAATGGGGCTAAGAACACTGCTGAGCTTGAGCATTTCTGTGAGGATCTAGGGTCTTCCTGTGCGGAGGAAGTGCTCCATGGGACCCAGGGGCTGGTGACGCTGTGGTGTGGAGGGCCTCCGGCTGCTGTTCCTCCTGCTTCAACATGGAAGGTCAGGGGCTACGTCTGTGATTTAAAGAATTAGCCTGTTTGACTCTACAAAGCATTGGTTCTGAAGGTAGCTCCAGCCAGGCCCAAGAGCAAGACCTGGGCAGGATCCATGCAAATGACCTGCCACTCCAGGCCTGCCAGAGCCGAAACCCGGGGAGGACCCAGTGGCCTGCCTTCCAGCGGGCCCTGCAGGAGTTCCGGGCAGCTCAGGTTTGAGGAACTGCGATAAAGGCTCTACCTTAAAAACAAATAAAATGGCCCTCCCAGCTGGGCTGCAGGGTCCTGTGAGAGAAGGACGGGAAGATTTCTGTCCTGTCCCTTCCTCTACCAAGCTGCTCGCAGGTGCCTGCAGAAGCATAGGAAAGATATTTTCTTTTTTACCACTAACGAAAATGGTAAAAAAGAAAATGAACAGAAAAACTGTCATTGTCATCAAACTGCATGTCGACCTAAGTAGGGGGAGTTAGTACCTCGAATATTACGGGTAAGAACAAGTTAACAGTGTGGCGTAAGACAGTGATCTAATTTCAGATTTTTTATGACATTGAGCTAGCAATGATATTTTGAGGGGTTTAAAAAGTTCTATGAGAGTCCTTAATAACTTTCTTTAATGCAGTAAAATTAGCTCTAATAATTATGTATGATTTATGGTTTTATCAACTTCAAAAATATCGATGTAGGTAGGCATTGTCTCATATTATTGAGGTTGAGAAGAGGTCTATCATGTTACATGTTTTTATTGAAGTATGTTATGGGCTATTGAGCTGATTTATTTATGGCGGTCTAATATTTTAAGGATAACTATTTCCAGAGTTATTTCTTTCAGTGATAAACTGTTGACAGGGGCTCCAAGTAAGGCCCTGTTTTAATGTTTAAAGGCTTCCAAAAATCTGTTTATAACTTAGAAGAGGAGTAAAATCTTTAACTAGGAAGCTTGTTTTTCTTGTGGTAAGATTAGCATTTTTATCTCTTTCTGTCTGTATCTGTAACTTTCTTTTCCTTCATTTGGGCCCCATTTAGCTCTGATGTAACATCTCAACTTTGCTAGAATTACGCTGACCTTTGTAAATCCCTTGGACTATCTAGGGCAAACTGGATGATAAACTCATCTTTAGAAAATGGGTGGCCCCTGTAAGTTTAAGGTGCTCTACTGTCTTTTTAAGTCTCTCTATGAAAATAGTAGGATTTTTCTAAAGGCTTACTAAAATCGTTCTTTATCTGTTGGATACCAATTTGTCCTGGGGAACTGTCTGTGCTCCAGACAAACTGTCAGAATTGTCCCTATTCTGTGTCACTGGGACACGGTTAGGAAATCTCCTTTAAAACTGTTTAAAGACAGCCTTCTATTTTAAAGTTTAGCTAAGTATTTCTCTAGATAAGGTTAGACATTGGCATAAATTTTGAAATATTACAATACATGAATCTGGATCTCTCGAAAATCTCCCCGAATTTGTTCTGGTTCATACTAGTTTTGAGAGGTCCCCTCTGATCTAAGTTCCCAGTGGCCATTTTGTAAGGTTTTCTCTTAACAGTAATTGAAGCTGGATAAGAAAATGGGACATCTTTTATTAATCATTGCAATTTTAAGTGTATAGACTAGTGATTTATTTTGATATTATGTGTAAATGGATAAATTTAAAAAGAACCCTCAATCTTCTCCTGAGAGAAGGTCTCAAAAATATGCCTATACCTCAGAATATTATCCTTTAAATAGGTACCTCTTAATTGTCTTTTAGAAAATATGATTAAGGTCATTTCCCAGTGTAGGGAGTAATATACAAGTCTTACACTGTTTCATGAATTATAGGTCCAGTCAGAGAATTTATATAATGAATCTCCCACAAAGTTTGTAACTTTTATTGCTCAAAACTAATGTATTACCTTAATTTGGAGAGCTCCAGTTCTAATAAAATGCTCTCCCAGATCCCACAAACATCCAACAAACAGAAGTAACATCCGAGAATCAAAACTGGAATTTAAGCCAGCATTTTAAAATATTTATTGAACAATCAAGGATGTGAATTTCTACGCTAAAATTAATCCTTGACTTAGACATTAAGAACCACTATGCAAATAAAGACCTTACTTAATGGAAACTTAACATTTTAATAATAGGTCATTGTCAGTCAAAATATGGACAAAATCTTGGTTCATATTAGTATAATAAAATCAGGGGGGAAAGCCTGAAATATCCTAGAATTAATCAGTTCAAATCATCACAGTCAGTCCACTTCTACATGAGTCTGTTTTCAATTGTGTTAGCTTTCTCTATCATTGGTCTAGATAATGATATAAGGATTTGATTATTTAGGAAAATTCTTTTATCATAAAAATCTAGACTACAAAGAACCTGTTTACCCAAAGAGGATCTCTTTCTTCTCCTTAGGTTCTCCACTGTGTACTTCCTCTCTGTGGAAGTATCTTCTTTTTCTTTTCTAGAATTTTTTCTTTTGGTTACACTTTGGAACAATTTCTATAAATCTTAGAATCTAAACAAATGATTGAACCTTGATAAGAAGAAATATCTCAATGAAAATATAGTTAAAGCCCGTGGACATTTCTGTTGACAAAATCATGTTTATCATCTTATAAAAATTTGTACAATAATTTGAGAATTAGAGATTACTTGATAGTTGTATTATCTCTGAAAGCAAATTTTTATAGCAAAATAAATTTATCTTGAATATTTTTAACTATAAAAGGCAGAGGGCTGGGGATGTGGCTCAAGCGATAGCGCACTCACCTGGTATACATGGGGCGCTGGGTTCAATCCTCAGCACCACATAAAAATAAAATAAAGATATTGTGTCCACCAAAAACTAAAACAAACAAAAAAAAAGGCAGCGCATCAGATAAATGCATGTATAAGAAATATAAATCATGTGTTTTCTGTTGAAGGAAAATGATTAGAAGCAAATAGATACATATTAATCAAACAATTAGACATATATGTTAATTATTTTATGAATTAATGTCAATAGA